GTATGTGTGTGTGTGTATGTGTGTGTGTGTCTCTCTCTCTCTCTGTGTGTGTGTGTGTGTGTGTGTGTGTGTGTGTGTAAGTATGCTGGGTGAACTGATTGGCATATGAGAAGGAGTCTGTAATACTAAAAACTCTGGTTATTAGGTGAAAGAGTCATGAGTTCAAGGCCAGTCTGGGTACTGTAGTGTGACTCTACCTCAAAATTAAAAACAAAGACAAAAAAATGGGAGGGGCTGGAAATACAGCTTAAGGAAGGGCAACTTTTGCTTACCTACCATATGAGAGCTGCTAAATAGCTTAATCACAAGTGGTGGCAGAGAGAACAGTTGGGTAAGTCATTGCTACGTAGTACTGTTGGAAACAAGCAAAAGAAACTTGCCCTAAGTACTACCATTTTGTTTTCAGACTCCATTTTAATTATAGGGTGAAAATAAGTTCAAGTTCCCAGGCCCTAGGGGAGCTGGGTACTTCCCAATAGAGGACCAACTTCCCTTATTCTTCTTTTGTTCTCCAGAACATAATGACTGTTCCTAACCATAGCTTCCCTTATTCTTCTTTTGTTCTCCAAAACATAATGACTGTTCCTAACCATAGCTTCCGTTATTCATCTTTTGTTTCCTAAAACATAATGACTGTTCCTAACCACAAAAGAACAAATGGATTTGATTGGTTAGATTGTAAAACCGACATTCTGTATTGGTTGACATAGGTCAATCACAACAGGAAAGCCCCTATCCCTAAATCCTGATTGGTGAGAATAAGCAATTGCAACTTGGCACAGATGTTTGTGGTTTTGAGGTTTGAAGCTCTGTACCATTCTGGCTCAGGGTGGCAGGTCAGCTTCCGAGTCTGTACTGACCCTGATCGATCAGTAGCGGCTTGATTACGACAATAATTTTCTGTCATCTCATTGACCTGGTGTTTGAGTTGTGTCTAGGCAGATCCACAAAAGTAACCAACATTATGAAAACAGTCATCTCAAGGGATGGAGGGCTGGACACGTGACTCAGTTGGCACAGGATTCCATCCCCACCGCCACATAAACCTTCCCATACTGTACATTCCTACGATCCCAGCATGTGGGAGGCAAAGGCAGGAGAATCAGAAATTCAAGTTCAGCCTATAGAGTTTGGGGATAGCCTGGGCTACATGAGCTCTTGCCTGAAAAAAAAAATATATTTTAAATCTTAGAAAAGAAGGTAGATAGGCAGGAAAGTGGGGCACAGGAGAGGATCTGAGAAGAACACGCGCCTGGGAGACAGGGCAGAGAAAGAACACAAACAAGGCAGGTTCAGAAAGAACAAGCTGAGTCCAGAGAACATTCTGGCGTGTAGAGTGCGGAACGAGTGTTAGAAGGATTGAGTTAAAAGGTATAAATTTGACGGTATAATCATAAGAAAGATCTAGTATCCTTTATCAGTTTCCTCCCCTACTTACTGTCCATAACTTGAGCTTGTTTTTTTCACCTCTAGAATGGTGACGATGATACCAACGCCACAGCTTCAGGGTATAGTGCCACCAGATATTGTACGTGGAAACAGTACCGTGTCTAAGACTCAGCAGGCAGACATGCCATAGCTTGATTTGGTGGCAGGGATGGGGGAGGGCGGTCACAAATGAACCGTCAGTCAGTGAGTGCTAGAGACAGAACTGCCCACCTCTCAGCTCTCTGTTGTTTTCAGAGATGCTAAGGCATGTGTTTTAAATTATTACTATTTGTTTTTATTATTATTACTGAGACAGTGTCTTAGTATGTAGGCCTAGCTATGTAGACCAGGATGCTTCCAACTCATAGAGGTCTATTTTCCTCTGACTCCTGGGGCTGGGGTTTAAGAACAACAACTCCACGCCCAGTAATCTGTCTTTCTTGGGTGTCTTCATGTGCTATAGATAAAGGCAGGGACAGGAAGGGGCCCACTGAAGAGGGCCACTGAAGGTATTCAGAGGCCAGAGGGAAACCGCAGGTATGGATGCACAGACATACTGTCTGGGAGGAGGGAAAGAGGGTGAAACTTGGATAACTGTATCCTGGCCTCTGAAATGGTCCCACCAGACCCTTAATAGTTAATGTTGGTTTTTCCCTTCTGTTCTTCCATATTCTAGCTCAGGCCTGCATCCTTGAGGTAGGTAGGTCACTGGCCTACCTCCACACCACAGCTAGACTGATCTCATCAGAGCCTTGCTTCAAACTCCATCTCTTTAATCAGCCAACTGATAAGCAAGAATGTGTTAAAGGACCTGCTCTTTGCTAAGTCCCATCTAGACATAGCAATCCAACCCCGAACAAGAGGCATATCCCTGTGCCCCAGAGCTTACTATCCCTAGGGGTACACAGCAAATGAACTTCGAGGTTCTCAGAGCCCACAGATGGAGCTCTTGCCATGATTTGATCCCCTAGAAAGAATTCCTGAAGAGTTGACACAAGACTGAGACCCAAAAGACAAAAGACAATAAAAGCAGTTGTCAACCAGGCAGGGAAGTGGGGAATGATGAAATGCCCTGACTAGAAGGCTCTGTTAGCTTCCTGGCTGGCCACCTCATGATGGTCATACAGTCCTACAACTGGCATTCCTTCAACCTGCCCTGATCCCTCAGGTCCCCAAGACCCACTTCAGATGGTGGTCTCTCTAAGGAGACTGCAGTCCCCACAGCCCAGTTTTTGGCAGACCCTAGGCACTTTCTGGAATTGTAGTCAACCCATTCCTTCACAACATGGGTCCCCAGGAAGTGCTGCCATACTGTCCTTCATCTTGGTGGTGTCTGGCACCTGCTTAGGTCAGGTTTGTTGTGGACATTCAGTAAACGGCCTGAATGAGGAGAATCCATTCTTCAAACATGCCTTCTCCTAAACAGGGCAGGAGAAAATGAAGGTGAAAATCTGGTTTTTCTTCACACCCCCTCCCCCCAGACCCCTTCACAGGGTTTCTTTGTGCAGCCTTGGCTCTCCTAGACTCAATTTGTAGACCCGGCTGGCCTTGAACTCAGAGATCTGCCTGCCTCTGCCTCCCCAAGTGCAGGGATTACAGGCAAGTGCTACTGGATTCTGAAAACAAGATTATGTTGGAGACATTAGGAGGCCGTCTCTCAGAGTCAGGTCAGTTTAAAGTAGGTCTCTTCTTCCCCTCAGGCTGATTTCAAACTGAGATCCTCCTGCCTCAACTTTCCCAGTATTGGTATTATAGGAACGAGCCACACCAAGCTTCAGGGGCTGCTCTCAAGAACAGTTTTTTAAAAACTCAATCTAAAACTGGGCCAGGTGAAGCATGTCTTACTGTTAGTACCCTGGAGACAGAGGAAAGCAGATTTCCGTGAGTTCGAGGCCAGCTTGATTTGCTAGTGAGAAGAAAAATAAAGTTCAATCCAGGCTTTCCGGAGTAGGCTGTGAGCTGGACAAATAACTTCTTAGGGCTTGTTCAAAGGAATGAGGATTCCCTGTAGCAACTCTTAAACCCGGGTCGAGGGCCGAATTCACCTTCTTTCTTCTATTTTCTCTACCCAGTGGTCACTACATGTCTGCCGGCCTCGCTCTGGAGAACCTCCACCATCCCCTTCTCAACACAGGTCTCCGGCTGTTGAGGCCTGGCTGGACCAGCTGCTGAGAGGAGGGAGAGGGGGAGGGGGAGGAGGGGGAGGGGGAGGAGGA